AGGTCACGTGGCAATATGCCGAGTGTTCCTGTAAAAGTTTCCTGCACATGCTTGTATTATTGACCCATGTAATTTACCTGGTTATCGCATGAACAGTCTTGGAGGCAAGCAACCGATAGGACATTAAGAAAACCAATTCAGTCTGATTTGTGGCAAGGCCATTGGAAAACACTCGTTTTATTTCATGGAGATGTGTGACCTCTATATTCAGAAGCTCTTCATATGAGCCTTGAAAATTGCTTGCAAACGGTTCTCGCCAGTCACTCGATCAAGCCGATGTCACAATGATTGCAATCATTTTTATACCCTTGCGATTCCAAAAATTCGACTTTTCGACATTTGGTAGTAACTGGGACCGTCTAAATCATTTTTACGCAGACCAGAAATTAGTGTCACTGCCATAAGTGTCAAATGTTGAAGCTAGCTCCATATTTTTGCAAACATTACGATGTCCCCTTAGATGACACCGGAATCGAACGGAGATGTTGATAGGATTTTGCAAGTCACAAAAAATGGAAGCAAAGTCAACAAGGCGAACACAAATTGAATTTTGAATCGTTGCTGGCTAATAAACACACCGTTCGTAGGCGTAAAACGCACCTAATCCACACCAACGCCCAGTTGAGAGCGTGCCTTTGGACTTACTTACTACTCGTTAATTCAGTCCGGGTCATGACTTTAATCAGCAGCCGTTTCCTGCCTTCATTTGTTTTAACGCACACACGTCGATCAAATTTCACAAACACATATCAATCGATGGTCTGAGTCTGGTTCACTACCTCAGCTCCGGCTGTCTAGACTGGCATTTAACCACGTCTCGATGATTGGTCGATGGCAATTTAAAATAAATTGATTCTTTATTTGCAATAACAAATATTCTTACATACAAACTCCAGAAGTTTGCGTCAATTTACCCGTTCAAGTGGACATTCTCATGCGCTTTAAGGTTAGAGGTTTGTGCATCCATCAATCAAAATCCGATGGACTGATAAAGACACGCAGAGGGACGTACGCAAAATTTGGTGGGATTGTCCAATTTCAGGCAGAACGCAAACGCTTTTGATCGCCAACCCTGCTTTTCATTTATATAAGTTTGCGGTGAAACGTGCTGATTTAGGCCTTCAACTCTATCGCCGCATACTCTACTTTTTCCTGACCCTTTTCATAGCGTTCCAATCAACCATGTGTTCTGCCTGCAAATCGACTACACAAAGTTGTACAGGCAATGACGCTACCTTCAGTCTGCAAGGGTGCTAAAGTCGGTACAACGTGGTGACAGAGTCGCAATTCTAGACCACATGCCGGGGCCTTAAGCATTCTATTGGTCCTCACGGACCTTTCCAAGCTCTGCTCGTTTGACCTGACTTCGACTCTCTGAACTAACTCATGGCTGAATTAGCTGCATTAAAATTGGAACCATGACAAGCTGAAGTAATTATCACTTATAAGTTAATTTTTCACTTGGACGAACAGCAAGTACAGACAACGGCAGTTGCAGCATCAAACAGTGAATGGGTTGTTAAAGATATTTGAGAATTTCAAGGGTCTCCAAAGAACATGCAGCATAGACACAACTAAATAATTTAGAGCTACAAAACATCCTTTAGACGAATAATAGGTAGAGATATTGAGTCGGATCATACACGAAGAGCGGTGATTAATAATCGCTGAAAAGTTTTACAATTGGCAAGTCAAACTTCGAAGTACAAGCAACTTATTTCAGGCTAGTCACTTTTCTCGTGAAAAATTCCTCTGTCAACGTATATATGTTATTGCAAAAGATCTTGACGTATACCCTTGCCTCATGTACTTGCGTTGATTTCCATTAAACCCACACATTTCAAGAATTCCAAAAAAACAAGCCACTAGCTTTACTGATAGAACTCCATTTAGCGCATTCGTGAAAACCGTGAGTTTGATAGGCTGTTCTGTAACATTTAAATAAAAATCAATGCAATGTTTTGCATAATGAATAAGTATACTACACGGCATGGAAAAGCATTATTCTAGATGCCATAGAAATAACATTATTGATGATACTAATGCTTAAAAGTGAATCTCTAGGTCAGTGTGGATAGGCACTTTTTTGTACTTTAAAAGCCGGTGCTAACCTAATATACGTGTTCTTTTGGATCCTTTAGGTTAACTATGTTAATATATGAATTGTAAGTTCTGGTTATTGTTTTACTTAGAAAAAAAGTCGTGTTATTCTGCCTTTGACCGTTGACGAGTACCAAGTTGCTCAACTTTACGCCGTCGCAAAAGCATCCAAAGAACAAACCGGCGGTGGCGACGGCGTTGAGGTCCTGGAGAATTGCCCTTTTAATAACAGCACCTTTCCTCCGACCACTCCACTTCTTGCTGGCTACACAAATGGTCAGTATACCCATAAAATATACCACATGGCGCGTAAACTGCCGTCGTTTTTGTCATCACTTCTTCCTCCAAGTTTAATGACATTCAATGAAATTGCATGGAATGCTTATCCCTACTGCCGAACTGTCTTGACGGTAAAGTTTCATGCGATGCATCAAGCCTTTATAGAATGATTATTTTCAGCAAAAGTTTACGATAAAAATCGAAACCCTACATTCCTCTGACATTGGCCTGGAAAATGTACGGTTACTTTGCCACGTTTACCTCGTTTAGGCACACAACCTCCCTCCTGATCTACTTGCAAAAAGAAAGGTCGTTTATGTTGATATTTCTACGCCACTAGCATCTGGCGAAACTAAACCTGGTGAAGATCCAACTGAATATGTTTCCAAAAAAACTGGCAGAGGCCCACTGCAAAAGGAACGATGGTGGGAGGTTAGCTTTGCTCTAACGTTGCCTTTCTTTTAATCGTTATACCTTTGCTATGTAAATAAATTGTTATTTATAGAAAACACACAATTGCCCTGTTATGTGCGCCTACAAGTTAGTGACTTGTGAATTTAAAGTCTGGGGTCTCCAGGGCCGTATTGAAGATCTGATTCAACGCGTAAGTTATAGAATCTTATGATTTTTTAAACAATTAAATCATTTTACAGTGGGAAATATGTGCCTGATGCGAAAAGTACCATACTAGGTTTATTTGTGAGTCTTGGCACGTCAAAAATGAGCAAAATTTTGGTCTCCACAATAGAGGTGCGTAGACTAAGCGACAGTCAATAGGTGACGATTGTGTCGTGCTCAGTGCAGTTCTAATTTCCTGTATCTATCGCCCCGCTTCAAGTTTGTATCGATGTCGCGCCGATTACGGAACTGGCTTCGTCTCTGAATTGTTGAATGAGTTTAAGTTATTTACGATCTCCTCTTTGGCTTATTTCCGATTCTGCTTTGGCTCGTTCATCTTCAAGCGGCCGCTTAGATGAAACGTATTTTTTTAATGAAACTTTGGTTATGCCTCTTCTTAACGTCAGCAATTAGAGTCTGTACCTCAGTTCTGTACGTGCTAATACACTTTAGCTGTTATCGACTTTAGTGGCTTGTAAATTTGGTCAGATCTGTTAGCGAAGTTACGCGGGTCACGAATCTGGTGGTAGTGGTCAATTCTAACGCGCCTTATTAGATTTCATCAGGCGATGTTATTTACTAGGCCGTATTGACACAAACACAGGCCTTAACGCACTCTATTTTTCATGACACCCACGTCTTCGTGAACGCTAAGCTAGGTTTGTTTCCACTGTCGATTTATATCTGTTTTTCTTTTGTGTTTACATAATGCAAACCACTTCAAAACTCAGCGGTCTTGCACTTCCCTGTTAGCCACTTTGTGCAAATTGCAGTGTACTTTAAATTGCCCATGAAATATTGCATGTGTTTCCTAACGACCTGAGTGAAAATCTGTGCGCTTATCGAAGATGTACTCTGCAGTCACGTGGGGTTCTCTGGAAAGCGAATTACCCATGTGCGTGGTAGTTTTATTCCAACGGCCCCCCTTCAAACTATCTCATAGTTTTTGGCACAGCCTCACAGGTATAATCGTAGTCGTGCCCGCCGCTTCCTGAATTTACCACTTTCGAGTTGTGGTTCATCTTGATTGCCAAGATTTACGTCTTGATGCTGAGTCGGTTTGCGTGTGATTTCCCGCTGTGATCGTCCACCCACGTTTTCAGAACTCAACTTCTAGTCGCTCTGTCTCTCCCTAAAGCTGTCTGCATTTAGCGCGACTGAATTTAATCGACACGGCCGCAGAATTCTTCCACCAAGTGCATATTGCATGTTAACATGCCTTTTTGAGTCACTCCTTCATTCGATACGATTGAGTTTGTGGGTGTTTGTTAGTGTGTGTGTGCATAAGATCACAAGGAGTGACAACATTGTGTGAGCACTGCCTTCTCAGAAATGTGTAGCGTAAATAAAACAACCGACTTCGTGTTAAACACGTAATCCGGTGAGGAAGCACGCTCATTCAAATTCCCCAGCTGTGGTGATTGGCACCATGACCTGCATTTGATTGGTCGGAGGCGCGGGGGGGGAGAGCAATTCCATTGGCCGAGCACGAGAGGTTTGTAGTGGTGCTATGCGATGATTTTAACTTGACATTTCAGCAAGAGTTGCGAGTGTTCACGATTTTCCATCGTCAGCTCTTCTGTTGGACCGACGAGTGGTACGGCATGACGATGGCGGACATCCGCAAACTCGAAGACGCCACGAAGGAAGAGCTAGAATTGGTGAGTGTGCGCGAGATCGACGTACTCCCGATTGTATCTTTTGAAACCACAATGAGTTATCTGTCTTCAAATGTGGCGATTTCTCTTTCAATATACCATTCTCGGTTCATTTTCTGGGCGATTTGCGCGTAATTTCTAAAAACAGCCGTTAGTTTAGCGTTAAATGTGTTTGGGAGGTCTGTTGCTCGATGTTAACCGACCATCTGGCCGACCTACTGAAAGTGGGAACGACAACATCGAAGCCACATTTAAATTGGGTCGTGGTTGTGTAATTTTACTCGAGATTGTAAATGTGTCACCTAACAACCAATCATTATTTGCGATTTGCACCTCGAGCTCATTGGTCAAAATTAGCGCCAATCAAAAACGAACACGTACACAGCCAACACTGATCCCTTCAAAATATATTGAACTGCTTCCAAGGTGCGTGGCGATCAACCCAGATGCACAAATTGGGTTTAAAAATGACCAATGAGAAGCCGTCAGAATCGGTGAATTTGTCATTGCAAGGCGTGACTTTGCTGAGCGCGGGCTCATTAATTTTTCTGAAACAGCCATTGGACAACAAAAAACAAATTTGATTGGCCGAAATTCATTGAAAAGTCGGAATTCATTTAACTTCCCCTTTAAAGGCTTCCACGTCGTGTGGCTCTCTTTTGCTATTTTCGTCGAATTATGAAGACGAAATGGGAAACACTGACGTGCTTAAACAATTTATTGCTCTACTGACTGTGTGCGCGCAGTTTTGACTCAGAAGAAGCCCAAAATAACCAGTTTTCCAAACCAATTTCATCAAAATTTACAGCATTCCCTTTCCACTTGTAGCAACGCAAGTCGTCACAGCTGCGCGGGCTGGCGATTAACGAGTCGTAAGAGCGGGCAGCGAACGTGATCTCGATCAGGCCAGGACGACGCTTGCAGCACTAATTCAGGGGCGCCCCACAACTCCCAGTCATTTATTTATTTATTTTTTGTCTTTCCTCTGAGGAAATTGAGTGTGCTTTGTTAGCTTGCTTGCTTGCTTTTCTACGTGCGTGTGATCAGCAGGTGCCCGCGTGGCTGGCTGGTGCGTTTGCTGCCACGGAGGAGCGATTGCTGTCAATGGTGCCCTCTTCGTTTGCACTCACCTCTGGCATAAGATCTGGTGACGTCAGAGGTGTTAAAAGCGCATCACCTTTGTATCTCGCCACTTTTGCGTGCATTGCGATCGCGCGGTTGCGCCATGCGTCGCAGCTCGTCATTCCCCGATTTTTGTGATAAGAGTCCTACTGAGCGCATTTAAGTACACGTTTAATCAAAACCAGAGTGATGGGACGTGCAGACAGACGTAGGCATATGTAAAAATTTGATAAAAAGGAAGGTAATAGGGCAGGGAGGCATGAATCTAGTTACGGTAGATTTTACAGAAATGCGTGTGCATTGTTCAATGCAATGGATATTAACTGAGAAAGTATTGAGTCGCTGCAACAAGACAGTTGATTGGCTAATCGATTGTGAGATTGAATTCTTCGTAGGGCTTCAACTGCGAGTTGAACGCGTCCAACCAATCCTCGTAAGTCTGAAAGGCGCGGAAAGAAAAAAAACTAGCTCGCGACGGGATTGGTGGAAACGGCTGTGTGTGGGGTTACGTCTGTAAGTGCCCATCGGCTACACTCTTCTGTTGCCCCCCAATAAGGACTAATTTTGATTCGAAACTGTTCCCAAACGCCAACCCTAATCGTAGCCCAGGGCGTTTATGCACTACCTACAGTTATCGTACCAAGGGCTCCTTGTCGGACAGCCAATCGAATTCATTGCAACAGCGGGAACGCAAGATCTGTTGCGTAACGTGGCGTTGCTCGTTCAGGAAAAGAGCATCGACTCACCGAGGCTTCGTTGCTGTTGGACGAACGCGAGTTCCTGCGACCCGACGCGGAGTGAGCACTTGATTCTGAAGGAGCTGAAGAATACAGTTAAATCGTCCGCCAATTAGCACAAGGCTGCTGTCCGCGTGGCCTACTTTCACGCTACTTCTACATTATTAGTAGTATTCACAGTGTAACAGTTGAGTGTCTTTGTGCAAAAAAAAGACTAACCGCGGGAGGTGCGTGATCGCTTGGCGATGGGCGAGATTGACGTCGCGAAGGAAGCGTGGTGCACGTCGACGGAGGGCTTTCCAGCCATCGGTTGGTCGGACAGACGAAGGTTTGTGCTGTCGGAGAGTGGCCGTGCCGTGGAGGGGGTTGCCGCGGTGGCTGTCGTCGTGCACGCATTCTCCACCTCCTCCTCCTCCCGCTCAGGAAACACTAAAATGGACGCAATCAGACGTTCCACGCGAGCAGACAAGGGCGTGGGTGGTGAGCACAGGCCGGACACTGACCTGCTGTGCTATCCAGTGGCTGCCCGCCGAGCGTCTCCTGCACGACGATTGGCGACTCCAGACTGGGCAGGCGCGGAAGTAGCACCACGGGTCGCGCGGTCAGCGCGGCGCCGCCGGCCTGGCGCTGATCGGCACCACACGACACCGGTGTGGAGGCGCAGTGCTGGGGAGGAACGAGGGAGCGGGTGGGTGGCACTGGCAACCAGATTGTGGTCGCGGCTATTCGGGCGCGCTCGTTGTCGCTCATTGGCTGGTCGTGGGCTGGTGCTGGTCTTCTCGTCGTCGGATTGGTTGATGATGGGTGTCGTTTCTATGGTGACGAAAGAGACACAAAGAAGTCGCAATTAATCTACCCGATAAATCTTTTAAGCAGAGATACTTTATTGGGTATAAAACTTGAAATCCCATTTAAAAAAGAAAAAAATTAGCGTTTTTTGTGGTTTTGAAAGGACCGGACACAGGGTTTCACAACGCCGAACGATGAATCTACGTGAGTTACAAACGCTTCCAAAACACGGAAATAAATAAGACATGTTTTTGGTGCCGATGACTGATCTTATAAAACATTTTGGAGGCGGTGATTTCAATCTTAGTGACCAGCCGCGTCGCGGACAACAGTCTCGAGTGTTTGCAAATGCGGAATC